AAACAACAACAACAATTAAACCAAAGCTGGAAAATATATACTCTGAAGGATACTTGCATGGCCTTATGCTGGAGAACACAGAAGCAGTCCCAAATTTAGGGGAGCATCCAACAAATTAATGACGTAGTTCTTCATTACATGTATGAAACTTTATAAATGTGATTTTTGTGTCCTGGGGTACAGACACAAACCTATTCAGCCCATAAACAAGTAAAATAAAATGACCACAGTAGACAGTAATCTGCTCTTGTTGAATGAAGCTCTGAGAAGAGCAGACCTGGGAGAAACACGTCCCCAGTGTGCACTGTCACGCAGGAGACAGTGTCCCAAGTCCTGACATGCAGGTGAGCAGCTCATTTCAAAATTCCTGGTTGCTCACATCTACAGACTCCTCTAGATAGCAAGAAAGAACTCTGACCTTTCCTTTTCTTGACCTGAGGCATCCACTGAATGTTTTTATTGGCCAAATTGGGCAATTAAGAATACCCATTCCATGGGGAATGGAACCTGTGCACTTACATTAAATTAATTTTTCAATACTGTGGAGATTCTGTTGTTGAGATTTGGTCTCTGCCCATACAACTTCCTGTGATCCTGCCATTTATAAGAACCTCTCTCATACGGATTCACTGATGTTTACCAAGGTGGAACCACCCTGAAGACTTCCATACTCCTCACACTGTCTGGGTTTCTCTTTAGTGCGAATTCTCCACTGCTGAATGATAAAGCTGGTGATTCCATGCAAAGCATGCCCACATTCATCCCGCTGACAAGATCTCCCTCCTGCGTAGACTCTCTGGTGCAGTCGGTCCTGACTTCTGGGCCAAGGTGTTCCCATTTCCTTCACGTACAGTTCGTTGAGGTTCTGTGCTGAATGAAGGCCTCCTCACAGTCACCACATCTATGCAGTCTCTCGTTTGTGTGGATTCTCTGATGTAAAATAAGGCCACGATACATGAAAGCATGCCCACACTCCTAACACGGAGCACTTTTCCTTGTGGTGGATCCCCTGGCAGGAAAGGAGGGACCCGCTACAAAGAAAAGCCTTTCCAAACCTGTTGCCCTCAAGGAGGTTCTCTGCGGCATCTGTATTCCCTGATGCTGAGTAAGGACTCACCAGTTACTAAAGCTGCTACTACGCTTACTGCATAGATGTTGCAGTTCTAGGGAGATCCCACCACAGCATTTCACATCTGCAGAATTGGAAATAAGTCCTTATTTTTATTCTTAGGATAACCATCTAAAAAAACGCACAGATAATTCAAATGTCAGTTGTCTCGTCTGCTGAGATAATGAGACTAAAAATGAAGAACAGTAACAAAGGTAAAACCCAGTTTGACTTAAAGTACACGCCTTTATGTGTCTAAACTGTCATCTCAGGTTGGCAAAGTGCCCAAAAAGGCATGTGAGGTTCCACTTGGAGTGAGAAGAGACAGCTGGGCAGAAAGTTTGGAAGAGCAAGGAGGATTTTCCCACAAAATGTGACAAAGAACCAGGAAGGTATAATCAAAAAACTTAAGAAGAGATCAGTTTGAATCCAGAGATAAAAAATAGAATATAATGAAATCAAGAGAAATTTTAATTTGTTAGGACTACTTAAAAGGATCATTTATACCAACTGAAATGTACCTAGGCCACTACTACAGACAAATAAATGCTCTACAAATATTGGTTGAGTGAATCAATGAATAGTGGGATATGACAAAAGTTAACTTGAAGCAATAGCTAGGTTTCAGTTATAAAACACACACTGTTTTGATATGGGAAAATGTTTCAAAATTACATACTATTTTGATATGGAAAAACTAAAGTCGGGAAAAATAATTTTTCCAGTAATGTTCAGGACTAAAACATAAGAAAGCAGCACTTTGAAGTAAAGTAGCTGAATAGGTCAAACCAAACAACAAAACTGCTCACAAATATAGCTGAGTTTCCACCTAAAGAACTGGGCAGACAACAAGGACACAGGGGCAAGTTTTCAAGGGAAAGGACATGAACTAATGAGAGACCCAAGAAGCTTCTTTTCAAGGATCTCTTCTCTCTGCAGACACCCTTTCTCACTGGATTTCTGTTTCAAAAGGCAATAATGATGAAAGTCAAACTAAAATTGGGTCTTAACAGGCTGCATGTGAAGCCTCGGATTCCGAAGTACTTTCTCTGCCATATCTTGTTCTATCCTTTAGCCTGGACTCTAGAGCCAATAGGATGAAGCTGGTCTTGGAAAACTGAATTTGAAGTTAAACACTCAGTAAAAACACCCAAACAACAACCCAACATCGGAAGCTTCCCGGTGTGCACAAATACCAGGGGGAATTAAAGCCCCGAGGGAGGCGCTGGGTTTTCACTTCAGAGACATATGGTGGATCCTACAGTTCAGCTTTACTGCTTTCTGTGCCATTCCAGAGGGCTTTCACTAGTCAAGCCATAACATAAGCGATTATCCCGACCCTTTCCACCTGATGGCTTTCCCTCCAAACTGTCTCCAACTTCTCTAGCACAAGTGATGCCTCTTCTCCACATTCTGGGTATTATCCCTGCCTAACTGTGCAGCTCCCTAGGTAGGTGTCAGGACCTACTTCAGCACCTGCTCCTTGGTCTGTTTCTGATCACAGCACCTGCAAGTAAAGTTCTCTGAGTCGTCTGGCAGCCCCGGGGTGGGGGGCAGGCAGCTATCTTGGGTAGTAGCAACTTAAAAGTCTGAAGGAATATCCGTGACTTCTTTGTCAGCGTGGTCCCAGGCACAGCCCTCTCCCTCGGCCATCAGTCACGTTAGGGACCTTCCCACAGGAGGAACGCCATTCTGGAATGAGAGCACTCAGGAGAAGATTCACTCCAGCTTGAGGTTCACGCTGGTTTTTCAGAAGTATTTCCTTGTAGTCGGTCTTCTTCCTGGGACACAAAATAACATTGTTAACAAAACCTCTAAACTTTGTTAAGCTCTTTTTTTACTCAAGAACTCACTACTCAGACAATGCACTGAAAGAAAAAGGAACTTTGTTAGGAAGCTAAATACATTAGAAGAGTGGGAGTGGCTTTGCAAGTTATTAGCTAGCATCCTATGCTAAAATCTTTTACTTCCTAAATATTAGTTAATAAAGCTTGAAAGACCATGGCGCTCTGCCCTTCGGTTCTTCCCAGAGAATCCCAAGTAAATGATAAGAGGATAACATGAGAAATGAGAAAATAATAACAGCTAATATTTATTTAAAAGTGACTACAGGGGCGCCTGGGTGGCGCAGTCGGTTAAGCGGCCGACTTCAGCCAGGTCACGATCTCGCGGTCCGGGAGTTCGAGCCCCGCGTCGGGCTCTGGGCTGATGGCTCAGAGCCTGGAGCCTGTTTCCGATTCTGTGTCTCCCTCTCTCTCTGCCCTTCCCCCGTTCATGCTCTGTCTCTCTCTGTCCCAAAAATAAATAAACGTTGAAAAAAAAATAAAAATAAAAGTGACTACAAACTTACTCATTTAAGTAGACACTATTATAATTCCACTGACAGCTGAATGATACTGTGGCACAGAGGGATCAAATCGTTTGCTAAATCACAAAACCGGGAAGTGGCTTCTAGTCGTGAGTCAGATCACCTCCCCAGCCACTCCCACTGTCCCACAGCCAAGGTATCCTAATACAATTCAAAACTCGGAGGCCATCCTTGACTTCCCCTGGAACCCTGAAGTCTGACCGAAGCCCCCC